CCAATTCAATCCCATCAAGGTGGCATGTACCAATGCCATCTCACTATTCCAAGTGATCAATTTCAGTTCACAATTGATCATAATGAAAGGACTAAGAGTCAACGGGAGCTCATAAACATGTCTAGTACCTGCTAACACTAACCGATAGAATAAATAAAGGGGAGAGTGATCCAACACGGGAAGTGAGATACTCAGCAGACTCATAGAATGGCAGATGTCCTAAATAGCACTCTGGCCTCAGAATCAGCCCTAAAGGCATTCGGATCTGGCTGAAAAGCCCATGAGAGTATTTCAGGCATGGAAAGCCAAGACACTCTGGCAAAAGATCTCTGTGAGTGAAATCCCAGTGGAAAGAACAGGTCTTCAAAGAAGGAGGTACCTTTCTCTGAAGGGAGGAGAGAACCTCCACTTTGACTATGACCTTGTCTAAACAAGATAAGAATCGGAGAACTCAGAGGGCTTCCATAGCCTTGGAAACTCATGACTGGAGCATAGGGAGACTACTGATGCCATAGACAGGAGTGTCAATTGGTAAAGTCAACAACAGGAGTCACTGTGCACTTACTCCTCATGTAGGATCTCTGTCCTTAATGTGCTGTGCATTGAGATTTAATGCTATAACGAGTACTCAAACAATATATTTCACTTTGTGTTTCTATGGGGGTGCAAACTGTTGAAATCTTTACTTAATGCATACTAAACTGATCCTCTGTCAAAAAAAAAAAAAAAGAAATTATCAACTCCCAACTTGACTCTCACTGGGATTAAACATGACAATAGGTCTGATCTGATTTCATCATCATTTAAAAAAATCATCTATTATTTTTCACTTTATGTTTCTGTGTGAGAGCAAACTGTTGAAATCCTTACTTAATGTATACTAAGCTGATCTTCTGTATATTAAGATAATCGAAAATGAATCTTGATGTGAATGGAAGGGGAGAGGGAGTGGGAAAGGGGAGGGTTGTGGGTGGGAGGGACGGTATGGGGGGGAAGCTATTGTAATCCGTAAATTGTACATTGGAAATTTATATTCATTAAATAAAAGTTAAAAAAAAAGAGAAAAAAAAGAAAAATATTACTTTTATTTGAGCCTGATTAGGATGCTTTGAGATTCCTGTATTTAGATTGTAGCTCTTTCAGTACTTGGAAAGTTTTCATGATTATTTTACTCAGTAGGTTATCAAAATCATTTTTATTCTTTTCTCCTTCAGAAATCCCTAAAATAGTTATTTTGTACATTTAATTGCATCCTATATTTAGGATAAGCTTTCTTTATACTTTTCAATTCATTTTCTTTCTGCCCCTTTTTCTTTTTGTACATTTATATATAGTGAAAAAAATCGTGTATTTCATATATACAGATTTGGGAGAATAATGAGTCTTCTTACCCTCCCTTCTACCTACCCATGCTACAACACTCCCTGATCCTTCCTTTCTTATACTTTCTTTTAATTTTTACAATGACATACTTTCAGTCTATTTTATGATCATAAGATTAACCCTTCACTAAGTAAAGAATTTAACAAATAGTAAGATGAAACAAGACCACTGTTCCTCAACAGTTGAGACAAGGGATGTAAATAATAATCAATTCTCAAAATGTTACTTTTCCTCATCTAAATTACATTATTTTGTACTGTATAAGTTACCACAAATCAGGGAAAAAAGATAACATTTTTCTTTTTGAAGCTGGGTTTTATTTTACTAAGTATAGGGGTTTTTAGTTGCATCCATTATGTTGCAAAAACAGGAATTTCATTCTTTTTTCAGTTTTAATATGTTTTAATTTTCATTCATTTCATGAAAGTTTTGGATTATCTTTATAATGTCTTTAATGGATAAATTTTCCTTCACTAGCCTGTTGTTTAATTTCCATAAATTCCTAAATATGCTACTGTTCTTGTTAATTTATACTTTCATTCTTTAGTGGTCTGAGAGGATACATGGTGCAGTATCAATTTTAAAATAAAAATAATTGAGGGGCTGGCACTGTGGTGTGGCAGGTAAAGGCACTGCCTGCAGTGCCAGCACCCCATGTGGGTGCCGGTTAGATACCTGGCTGATACACTTCTGATCTAGCTCTCAGGTATGGGCTCAGAAAACAGCAGAAAATGGCCAAAGTCCTTGCACCCCTTCTCCCATGTGGAAGACC